GGTGCTGGAAGGGTTGGATTTGTGCTGGCAGGGCTGGAGTGGTTCTGGGAGGGCTGGATTGGGGCTGGAAGGGCTGGATTGGGGCTGGGAGGGCTGGATTGGTGCTGGAAGGGCTGGATTGGGGCTGGAAGGGCTGGATTGGGGCTGGAAGGGCTGGATTTGGGCTGGAAGGGCTGGATTGGGGCTGGAAGGGCTGGATAAATGCTGACACAAACCTTTCCCAGCGCTCCCAGGGCCAGGCTGATGCTGGCAGGGTTGGAGTGGAACATCTCCCCTGGTCAACCCTTCCCCAGGGCCACGGGGGGATGTGGGTTGGGATCACCCAGCTCCAGGCTGGAGCAGGGCAGCAGAGCTGGGACATTCCTGTGACATCGGGGGGATCCTGGCACACCCACAAGGAAACCACCCTCGAAAACTTGGGATGAGGAAGGAGCCTGTGCTGGACACGGCTCTCCAGACAGGGAATCACGGAATTGTTAAGGCTGGAAAAGACCTCGAAGCTCATCAAGTGCAACCATGGTCAGCACGTCCTCGAGGGCCACATCCACAATTCTCAAACTCCTCCAGGGCTGGTGACTCCACCAGCCAGTTCCAGGGCTTTACAACATTTTCCACAAACAAAATATTCCTGTGATCCCATGGAAACCTCCCGTGCGGTGCCCTGGTGCAGGAACACGCCTGGGACAGGTATTTCCCACATCAAAACCAGAGCTGGTGATTACAGACGATGCTCACTTGGGAGCAGGAGATAAGACCCCAAAGCAAGTGTCTAAGAATGACTGATTAACAGCTAAAGCCTCGCTAATTGCCTTAAAAAGTCGGATCTCAACAGCCGGGGAAGGGAAAAGAAAAAAAGGATTAAAATTTTCCTTGGGCTAAACATTTTTCCGGCGTGCTCAGACTCGCTCTGGATGTCTCCAGTCATTATCTCCCTAATTAACACGCACCACAAGCCCAAAACAAATTTCTCCACCTTGTGGCTCTGGGAGGTTCAGTCGGATTAAGGAAATTTAGGGAATGGGATCGGCCAGTGCCAGCGAGAGGAGGGATTTGGGATAGGGAGATGAAGCTGTTTTTGGTGGATGAGATGGAATAAACGTTGGGTTTTGTCCAGCTGGAGGTGCTGGGGGACAGGTGAGGTCTGGCATGGAGCAGGTGAGGTGCTGGGAGGCTCCTCTCCTCCTGCCATCCCCGTGTCACCGGGAAATCAGGATGGGGAAGGAGTTTTTCCTAATTTCCATCCCTTTATTTCCTGTAATTAACACAAACCCTGCATTTTCACAGCCCCAAAAAGAACCCAAATAATCCCTTTAAAGCAAAGGGATGGGACCTGGCCCAATTTGGGATGAAGGCTGACGATGCCAGAGCATCCCAAATCAGTGCTCCCTGTCCCAAGGGATGTGGAACCTCCCAAAAACGCTTCTTTGGGCTCACGGCCTTTTGGAATGAGGGAAAAAAAAAAAACTGTGGAACAAAGGATAAAATGAAATAAAACGACACAAATCTAAAAGGAGCCATCCCTGTGATGCTGGGCAGCCGCTGGAAACACAACTGGGAATTCCAGGGCGGGCAGGAGCAGCCAGGCCCCAAGGAACAGCAGCAATTAAAGCTTCCCAGTGCCTCCAGGTCATTTTCCTTTTCCTGGGATAACAGAATTTCTATAGGGTTTGTTGTTTTATTAGAGAATTAATCTCAATCTTGGCGGGCTCTGGATGCTTTGCAGGTCAGGGGCAAAGTGAATTATCCAGTGAATTTTCTGGATAAACCTGCAATATACAGATTTTTAAGGAATCAATACAGAGATTTTCAAACAGTCAAGAGTTGTGATTTCCCACACACACAGAGGATGGTTGGCTTCTTTTGGGTTTGTTTTTTTAATGAAAAGAAGAGTACCAAGCAAGAATCTGAGGAGTAGGAGAACAATTGTATTATCAAATGCAGAATATTCCAAAATTCCTGGCATTTACCTTTAAAAGGAAATCTCTAGGAGCTTGAAGTTGATATTTTATGTGACGTTTGTGGGTATTTTCTAAAAAAAAATAGCATTTAGGATTTTTTTTTTTTTCCCGCAAGTATCTCCACAGGTAATTAACTGGATTTACCTTTCAAAAATCGTGTCTTCAGTAGAAAGATAACACTTTGTAAAATTCCATATTTAAATTGTGATCGATTTAAATCGATTTTGGTGAAGTTGGAAGACACCATCAAATTTTTGGAGTGAGTGGCATGTGGGGAAAAAAACCGAGCAAACCCGAAAGGGGAGGTCAGCTGGAGGCTACGGGGGAGGAAATGAATGATTTCTTAAACAATCAGGGAAGTTCGTGTCGGCCTGGAAACGTAATTTAATTTGTGTGGTTAAAGCTCCCGACTGAGCAAAATCCTCTCGTTAAGGCAGAATTGTCATTAGTGCGATAATTAAATGAGGAGGGAGGGCAGAGGGAAGGTCCCGGCCATGGAGAGAGGGAGGGAAGAGAATTCCGAGTGCCCCGGGGGGATGAGGGGGTTTGGGGAGGTGGGATGGGATGGGATCCATCCTCATCCTCCTCAGCACCAGGCGCTGCCTGAAGCTCTCCACCCTCGGGTCTTTAATAGTCCTGCTAAATATTAATTTATTAATTAATTATCAAATGTTTAATATTAAATGATTCCTTATTTATTAAATTATTAATGAAAATATTAAATGATTAATATTAAATTATTCCTTATACATATTGAATTGTTAATAAATAAATAAATAATATTAAATGATGCCTGATACATATTAAATTGTAAATAAATAAATAAATAAATAATATTAAATGATGCCTGATACATATTAAATTGTAAATAAATAAATAAATGATATTAAATGATGTCTGATACACATTAAATTGTAAATAAATGAATAAGTAAATAAATAATATTAAATGATGCCTGATACATATTAAATTGTAAATAAATAAATAAATGATATTAAATGATGTCTGATACATATTAAATTGTAAATAAATAAATAAATAAATAAATGATATTAAATTATGCCTGATACATATTAAATTGTAAATAAATAAATAAATAAATGATATTAAATGATGCCTGATACATCCTAAATTGTAAATAAATAAATAAATGATATTAAATTATGCCTGATACATATTAAATGGCTAATTAACAATTAATAAAGCAATTATTAAATAATTAATATTAAAGTAGTCCTGCTAAATATTACATTCTTAATTAATAAATAATTAGGTAATAATTAAATAAATAATATGAAATTATTCCTGCTAAATATTAAAATATTAATTCATAATTAAATCATAATTATATCATTAATATTAAATTATCCCTGCTAAATACCAAATATTCCTGCTAAAATCCCATCTCCAGCCAGATTTCCATGAAAATTATTTAAATTTATTATTAATGTATCAATTTTTAGTTTATTATTTATTATGGTTATTATTATTTATAAATATATAATATATAATATAATAATACGATATATAATATATATTATTTGATATATTATATATAATAATATTATATCAAGGGTTAGGAAAGGCACTTGCACCCTCCTGTGCCCACATCCACAAACTGCAAGGGAACGTGGAATTCTGGCTGGATCCCCCTGGCACAGGCGGCTGGGCAGGATTGCAGGGATGCAGGGATGCAGGGATGCAGGATTGCAGGGATGCAGGATTGCAGGGATGCAGGGATGCAGGGATGCAGGATTGCAGGATTGCAGGGATGGAGGATTGCAGGGATGCAGGGATGCAGGGATGCAGGGATGCAGGGATGCAGGATTGCAGGGATGCAGGGATGCAGGGATGCAGGATTGCAGGGATGCAGGGATGCAGGGATGCAGGGATGCAGGGATGCAGGGATGCAGGATTGCAGGGATGCAGGATTGCAGGATTGCAGGAATGCAGGGGTGCATGCAGGGATGCAGGATTGCAGGGATGCAGGGATGCAGGATTGCAGGGATGCAGGATTGCAGGGATGCAGGATTGCAGGGATGCAGGAATGCAGGGGTGCAGGGATGCAGGATTGCAGGAATCCCAGCTGGATCCCCCTGGCACACAATGCCCAGGATGGGAAGGAAGCTCTGCCATCCCCCGCTGGCATTCCCAAGGTTTCATCCCAGTTTAGAATCCCAGGGGAAACCACTCCAAAAATCCCTTCCTTCCACACTTCCTGGGCTCAGGTGGATGTCACCTGGGAATCCTGGAATGCTTTGGGTTGGGAGGGACCTTAAATCCCACCCAGTGCCACCCCTGCCATGGCAGGGACACCTCCCACTGTCCCAGGCTGCTCCAAGCTCTGTCCAGCCTGGCCTGGGACAATTCCAGGGATCCAGGGACAGCCACAGCTGCTCTGGACACCTGTGCCAGGGCCTCCCACCCTCCCAGGGAAGAGTTTCTCTGTTAATATCCTAAAACCCAAGGATTAATCAGTCCAAAGGCAGACTGGACCTTCAGACTGGAACCTGGTGAATAATTACAGCTGGAGGTTGAGCCGAGGTGAGGGCGATGGGGGCAGAGCTGGCACTGGCTCCTGAGCTCCAGAGGGGACATTCCCTTGGAGCAGGGAACTGGAGTCTGGCAAAGCCCAGCTCCAGGGATCTGGGATCCAGCAGGGTGAAGATCCCATGTGAGGCTGAGGGTTGTGGTGTCCAGGCCTGCAGACAGCTTTGTGTGGAGAATTTGTGGTGAGAAACTCAGCTGCCTGTGCCCAGAAAATCCTGACAGCCCAGGAAGTACCGAGAACACACTTGGAACAAGCCAAAACTGGCTTCATTTGGGAAGAAGTGCTAAGAGGAGTGAAAAGGAAACCTTCCCAGTGGAGCTTTGGCTCTGGGAATGCCCAGAGGCCTCCAATTCATCAGCAACCCCCTTTCCCAGGCAAAACCTGGGGAAATGGGAGCAGACCCCAGGTAAAACCACACACATCCCCTCCAGCCTCCCCATCCCTGCAGCCAGGGCGCTGGGATGCCATTCCCAGCGTGTTCAGCACTCCAGCACAGTGAATCAGTGCTTTATTTTCAGCATGGAGAGGTACAAGACCAGCAGTGATCCCTGGGGAATGACAAACTTCCCTGGTGTGACAAACTTCCCCCGGTGCCCTCGGGTCCGTGGGATTGGAGAGGAACACCCCCAACGTGTCCTCTAAACCCCAGGGGCCAGCAACAGCCTTTCCCCTCTTTAGAGATCCTTGTGTATCCATTCCAGAGGATTTGGATTTGGGATGGGGAGGGAAGGCCACGAATCAGGCACTGAATTAAGGAGGATCAGCGTGGCAGCCCTTGGGAGCGTTGAGGCAGCGCAGCCGCGATTCCCAGAGCCTGAGCAGTGCCAAGAGCAGTCCATGGGCTCAATCCCAGCCTCCCTCCCAGCAGGGCACGGCCAGGAGGAACCTGAGAGCCCCTGGAATTTATTGCACGGTGCTGGATCAGGAATAATGCCAGGGCAGAGCCGAGGACACCGAGGTGGAGCCGTCTCTGCCGTGTGCAAGGTGGGCAGAGGGGGAAAACCCCTGGATGAAAACCCAGTGGGACCATAAAACATCCCTGCCCCAGCACCCTGGAAAGGTTTATATAGGGCAGTTCACACCATGATCCCAGCCCAGAATAGCTCCAGGGATTAACCCAGACCCTGACCTCGGCTCATCCCGTGTTACTCCCTGGAAATGCCAGCGGAGCCGCCTGGGATTGCATCAGAGCCTGCCTGGGATCTGGACAATGTCCTGCCTCGGCTGAGCTCAGCAGCAAACCCTCCCCAGAGCTCAGCACAGGCACAGGAGCTCCTTGCATGGAGCTGGAACAGCCCCAGGGAGGAACTGCACCAAGGAAACTGGGAGAGAACCGTGACAGGGAAACCAGGGGGGAACCGTGACAGGGAAATCAGGGAATTAAACCTTGGCAGGGAAACCAAGGGGAAACCGTGATGGGGAAATTGAGGGGAAAACTTGAAGAAGGAGTTTCCTCGGGGTTCCTCCTGTTGTGGGTCCCCTTGGCAGGGCAGTGCATCCCAAGGAGTGAAGGCAGGATTAGCCCAGGGCAGTGCCAGGCGCAGCAGCTCGCTTAATTCTCCTTCAGGTCGTTGTCAGTTTTACCTAAAAACAGGGGAGGAACAATCAGGGCTCGTGTTTCTTCCTCCAGAACCAGCAGCCCTTTTAATTTTATTGATTGAGTTTTATTTGCTGGTTTTGCTACACAACAGCCTGACAAGCAGGACAGCAGCTCACAGCCATGCCTGGAATTTGGCCTCCCGAGGCCTTTCCTTGACAATTTTCTCTTTTGATAACTTCCCCAGGGAGTGACCAGCAAAGCCCCCCAGGTCCCTCAGTGCCACCACAGAGACTCCCCCAAAACCTCAGCCAGCCCTGAAACCCCGGGAGCCCCATCAGGAGCTGGGCAGACCCAGCCTGATTTACCCCAGGCGTTATCAGTGCTGCAAGCAGCGCCGAGCACACAGCGAGCCCCAAAATCAGCTCCCCGGGCTGGGCCAGCAGCCAGGGCACGGCCGGTACCTTTCGGGAGGAACTTCAGCGAGCTGCTGAATATTCAGAAGCGGGACTGGCCCTTCTTGGGGCCATCGTTGAGGAACTCGTGGCCCAGCCCGTTGCCACACTTGCCACACGTCACCTGCAGAAGCAAGGGGAGGGGTTGGCAGCAATCCGGCTTTTCAGGGAAATCGAGCCCGGAGGTGTTTGGGGTTTATTTTTGATACATCCCAAGGGTTCGGGGGTCCGCACCTTTAAGGCCCCCGGGCGCTCCTCGCGCTTGGCCACGCTGTCGCCGCGCAGGGTCTCGGTGAACGCTGGCCACGGGGACGAGTGCTCGTACTTGGCCCGGCTGGAGAAGAGCTCGTGGCCACACTTGGCACACACGTAAATGCCTGGGGAGGGCGGCACGGCGGGGTCAGCGCGGGGGACACGGGACACCCCCCGGGACCGGCCAGGGGGGCAGGACCCCCACTCCCCATAGGGCTTCCCGCAAGGGCAGCATCCCCCCCGAGGATCCCCGATTCCCCCAACAGGGACCGCAGATCG